CACATAGTGATTGAAATTTTATCAAAGCATATTAATTAATTGCCTTCAAGTCTATAAACCTTTTACGAGATATTGATTTGTGTCAAATTCTTTTGTGGATAAATAAAAACATCTGAATTTGCATTCTATTGCATGAATATTTTAGCAGATACTGAAATTTGGCTCATTGACAAAAAAATAAATTTAAAACGGTTAAATGTTTGTAAATATACAATCAAAAGTTGACTAAAATAGTGCAATTTTACAAATAAACTTAATTGATGCGTGGGATCAATTATCTTTATTTTTGTAACACCGTTATTATGTGTAAATTAACTTGCATATTATTATGTAAATGTGCGACGGAAAAATTTTTAACCCTTGGCAAACCTTGATTAATATTATAAGAGGCTATGCAATAGCAGAACAACACAAAAGAGTATTAACTAGTGCAAATTTATTTATACAGAATTGCTAACAAAACTCACAGTGAACACATCATACTTCCACTCATCGATATTCCCAAGGCGTTGTTTCCATCTTGAAATTGGCGTTGGCAGTTTTGGCTGCAGGGGTATGGATCTATACGACGACGGATTTTAATTTCATATTATATTAATATTAACAATAATCCGGCATTCAAATATCTGTTTGATTAATAGATCGATCGGTCATCCCCTTGATAATTAATTTTTTTTTTTGGAAATTGTTTGTAACATTTACATTTAATACAAAACTACATTTAATTTTAAAAGTAAATAAATAAACAAGTATTAATTTGTAATTAACTTCAACTTTTGAAATTTCGACGAATGATAAAAGGCGAATTATTAATTGGACAAATACGGAAATCCATGAAACTAATAAAACAAATAAAACAAATAAAACAAATGAAATGAATGGAACAAATGAACTGGATAAAACAAATGACTCGGATAAAACAAATGAATCGGATAAAACAGATAAAACGAATGATTCGAATAAATCAAGGGATTATTTGGTAATACAATTTAACTAGTGTTCCAGCAGAAGAAGCTTTTTTCACTGCAGGTTTAACTATTAGTAAATTACGAAATAAATCATTACCTGATACTTCTCGGCGACTATTTGCTTAAAAAGTTGAATTTCATAAGGAATGGCAATTCGTAGAGACAATGAATGGAATTTGATTTATATATATCCTTTTTTTTTAATATATTAATAATTTGAAACGAGTTATGATGATAATAATGTTTTTAACAAATAAAATTGAAATAAATGCTTTTATGATTAAAAAAAAAAATCATCGGCCCAAACAGTCTTTGATACCTAAGTCCAGACCGACTCGGTCCGCACTCCATTCAGTTCGGTGTTATCTTTCCAGATTTTATGGTATTAATAATTATCGTGTAATCAACATCAAATATTTATAAAAAGGAGAAAATTGTCATATTAACGTGAACCTTTATGTAATTATTTATGAAAACTAATTAAAAATGTATTAATGAGTAGTCCTTATGGTAACAATTTTTTCAGTTTGAGTTTCCTTTTTTGGTTTAAATTCAATCCTTTATTAACCCGAATTATAATGTTGCAGTCACCTTCAAGTCACAGTGTTGATGGAAAATATTTTTGTGATCATTCCGTGTGTGGGTCGTTGATAATTATTATCCATTAAACGGTTAATCGGCTATTATAGTCGATAAAATTTTTCTGATATGTATATAAAATTCTTCTAAAAATATCACTTTTTAATATGAAAATAATCCCTGAGATATTAACCGACTGGACTGTAAAAAAAATTCGGGTATTGTCCATGTGGTTTTTGTATAACTGTTGCTGATCCTTTTGATTTTGAGTTACAATTAAAAAATGACGTTTAAGGGATAGGGTTTGTATTCACAGATACCGTAATGAGGTCACACAGGGTCACACACTATCAAGTGATTTTAAGGGATTTTGCTGTTTTAATAGCGTTTACCCACTCCCTAACGGTATTCATGGTATTCATGAATACAAACAGGACCTCTGACAATCATATTTGAACTGGTATATAAGAAAGTCCTCCAACTGGAGAAAGGTAACTGAAAATGTTATTTCCAAAGGTCAAACTAACAAAAACTTTTCCAATTTATGTTCAACTATGGTGCGAATCATCTAAAGACATCACGTGCTGCGCCACTCGCCGAAAATTTTTATGCTGATCTTGCTTTATAAAGAATCCAATATATAAAAATAAATCCAAATTTGTAAAAGATCTGTGACTTTGT